GTAAGCAAGAGCAGTGATGTGATTCTGCAACCCGATTTGCAACATAAATTCAGTGTAGACACAGGCAGAAGAAATACGATCCGCGTCCTGAGGCTGTTGTTCGTCCAATTCCGGAGCAGATTTTCAGTGTTACCGGGAACGAATTCTTATTAGTGAGTAGAGTATGGTTGATGAGGAAATCATACGTAAAGGGTTTCTACCCAATTGGTCTGGTGTTAGTCAAAAGCGACACATTGATCCAGGATCTGACCACCGTACATGCGCTGAGTCGATCTGTGTCACTATATATATATATATATCTGCACCCCGACGAGGGCACGTACACACCACATGCCATTGAATGTGAAATGTTTCAACATTACCGGAGGTATTTGCATTCGACGTGCCACATTAAAAGTGGACAGTGAACCGATCTTTATGAAAAGGCATGTTACAGCATGTGGTCAACGTGAAGGTGCACTGAAGATAATCCAGAAAATAGATTGCGAAAGCATCTTCAGACGGCTGGGCAAAGCCGATTGTGATGGTGAAGAAGGGTGAGGGCAAACACAGAATGCTGTTGAATCCTCAGTGGAGAAAATATACAGTTGCCACTCTGGAACTGTGGGGTTAAACATAAGCATTGTATACCAGCACTAGATCGTAGATGTATTTGAATTTTGCCAAAACCCCAACTCCTTTTTACAATCCATTCGGTCGTGGAGTACAACCGAATGCTCTGTGAAATCATATGGACGATAATGGAACGACCTGTGCATACCTATTTCCCCTATCTAAAAGACAAAATTGGTAACGAACGAGTAAGATGCATGCACTGAGGCCCTACTTGAACGAGAAGAATGTGGTTCGTTGGCATCTCCCGTTTGCTGAATACGACTAAATGAAGATATTCCAAAACACTGAAAAAAATACTAGACATTTATGAGGCTGTCCGGTGGCAACAGAAATACCTTTTTGGAGTGTAATTCGTGAAACTGACTGAACACCAATCAGCTGAAAAAATCGATTGGTAAACCTATTAATGCAATGCTCCAGAGATAGAATATTGCGTTGGTTGCTTACGAGTACGACACCATATGTCACACGGATAAAATGTCCACCCAGGCCGTTTTTTTCTAAGTGGTGTAAGCTCCCAGTAGGCAAGAGATTTCCCTTCATTGCACCTGTAACTCCTCCGTCACGAGAGGATTTGCGACGTTCGTCAATTGTTACTAAGTGAAGACGAAAACGGCACTATTGAAAGGGTTTCTTTCGTTCTACACTTAACAAGGTAAACTCACTGTGCCTTCCAATGAAGTGCTCTCTCTTAGCGGGTGTTTGATAATTCCACATCCGCTACTCAGTGTGACACTAGAAACCCAAAAAGACCAATTAAGAGGTGGCAATGATAAAGTAAGTGACTTTACAGAGATGTTCATTATTCGACCTAGACGAGGATATTGATTAAATCGCTAATAGTTATGAATCCTATATCTATGAAATAAAGTTAAGATCAAAGAATTTGACCAGATGGTCAGACACTTTGGCAAAGCGTACCCAAGTATGTGCTAACTTGTCTCTTATGTAGATCCCATCTGAATTGATAGATAATTGGAAGCTGAATTTGGTAACACTAGATCTATTCTCCTTTCCACATCTCGGAAGCTCTTCTTAATAATTAGTCGCATTTGGTTTCATCTACTGAAATTAACTTACAGCACAGAAGCAACACTGTTACCCTGTCGGTTGCTATTTTATTTTTAGTAGCTGGTATGTTTTAGACCTAGGGTTAACTCCTCTTTTTGAGTGATAGATGCGCACTGAAAATGATACTCAACAGAGTAGAAATACGTGAATAGTGCTCCGTAGACTTTACTCTAATGATATTCTTAACTGATATTGTAAGCATAACTGAAACATACAACCATCTGAGAGAAGGCAGAGCGGTCGGATAACACGAACAAACACAAATGGGTACCGGTAGGAGGTTTTGTATCAAGAGGTTTTGTGTTACAGATGTTGAAGGGGGAGTCTTGTTTTAGCCTGTCACACAAAGTAGAGCAAACTGATGGTAACCTTACCTAGTTGTCAGCATCGGATGAAATACCTTCCTTGAAGAAACACTGTTTGAAGCTCAAAAATGCCGGTCGGACAGATTTATAATGAAGTCCCCTCGGGTCTATACTGACATCAATCCGCTCCCGAGAGACGTGATTTCCGTTTCTGCAATACAGAAAGCCAGGTTCCTTTAAACTGAATATTAACCTTTTTCTTACCCGCCTCCTAACACACGTAACCCCATATAACCGTACTCCACTTTTTCACGTCACTAGTGACAGTGGGAGTTGCTTATGCTAAGTTACGTGTGGATTTTACTGACTGGGTTTAGGTTCGATTCCTCTGTATTAGCCTGGCCTCTAGATACAACCACGGACGGTCGATTCTACAAGGAATAACTTTCAGGAAAGAAAGAAATCCTGAGAGAACAACCAATAAAGCCACAGTCTCCTATCTCACCTGCTCTCATCTAATCTGAATAGTAACATGCTTTTGTGTTGTTCACATAATGCTATTTGGCCTTTATTCTAGTCAAACCACTCCGTGTCTTGCTGATCACAGATGTCTAGTGGAATAAAGGCTTTCAGCCTTTTTCCCTTAGAACAGAAAGAACACTAATGTTAACATTTATCTTCATCTCCACAGTCACTACAACGCAAAACAACCTGGTATTTATACAAGAAACTGTTGACAACTACAGCGGTTAAACGAACACAGTCAGGGGAGCGCGGCGGGGGTGGAGGAGAAATCAGCTCCACAGCAATTTGACTGATTGCATCAGAAACGTTTTGCGCGGAAGATTGGGTTACGTAACTCGATTATCATCTCCTCACCAAACTCCAAGACCCTGGGATTCACGTTACGTAATAATGGCCTGAACGACAAATGTGGGTCAACGGTGTGTTCAGCTGTCATGTGATGTTTTGCGAGTGATGACCTTAGATTTCTCTGACCCTGTCAAATTCCCAAGTGATTGGTACAATCAATCAATGAATCAATCAGACAACACAGCCTCAGAGGTCAATCCGATAAGAGAAATCTAAGGTCATCACTCGCAAAACATCACATGACAGCTGAACACACCGTTGACCCACATTTGTCGTTCAGGCCATTATTACGTAACGTGAATCCCAGGGTCTTGGAGTTTGGTGAGGAGATGATAATCGAGTTACGTAACCCAATCTTCCGCGCAAAACGTTTCTGATGCAATCAGTCAAATTGCTGTGGAGCTGATTTCTCCTCCACCCCCGCCGCGCTCCCCTGACTGTGTTCGTTTAACCGCTGTAGTTGTCAACAGTTTCTTGTATAAATACCAGGTTGTTTTGCGTTGTAGTGACTGTGGAGATGGAGATAAATGTTAACGTCTCGCAGTATTTGTCCTTTCTGTCCTGACGAATCGGATAAATGGGACTCAGTGCTCTAAATTCTTCAAGTCTTTCATTCTCTTCCATCAACCGCCTACTCATCCTCGAATTTTTACCGACTTAGAATGTCACCGTAAGTATCGGCATAACCCTAACCCATTCCGTTCCCCTGGCGCTTCCTCGTCATGATCCACAAACATAGACGTAATAGTGAGAAATGCATTGGCAAAGTAGAGAGACAAATAAACTGGGGATTGAATGATTACATGTGTCACGCGTGTTATGATGATGTCGATTCGTTCTTGATGCCATCCTCATCCACACGCCAATCAGGTCTTTCATATCGAGTCCAACCTTCTGGGGATTCAAACCAATCCGATTGCTTCAAAAGGGAATCCACATACAGTGCGTGTCTGCATTCATTGATCGCTGAATTGGCGTAGGCCGATCGACATCGTGAATCCAGATGACAACTGTAATAAGGTAAACAACCGGGCGCAATAAACTGACCACATTAATTTAAGTATGTTCCATACATGCATATTTACAGTGCATTGATCAAGTGAAGGAATGACTAATTTAACTCACATGACAAGTGTGAGGCTCCTTGAGGTGTCGTAAGCGTTAGGAGGATAAGAATCTGTATTTAAGGAGACTTGCCTATCAGTCTTAAAAATTGTAAACCTTGGTCGGAACACCAGATTTCAAACCACACTAGGCCCGCGTTGGATGCGGACGGCGTTGAACCACGTGGCATCAAGATCGCCTAACATCAAAACTGAATGGTGATGGAGGTGATCGCCAATGGCAGACTTAAGCAGTTCCAGCATCACCACCACTCACAGTATCACCAACCATCCGGCTCAATCCGTCTAGAATGAGACGAAATTCCGTGGTGTTGCAAACAGTACTTATGCAGTGACCGTAGGTGCAGTTGGTGACGACAGATACTTGCAAGCAATATTACTCCCACTATCACTGCACTCTGTAAACACGATTAGGACCGAAAATATTACTGTTTTTTATTGTGCCAAACCAATCCTATCTTGACCATAGCAAGCAATACGAGAAATAAAAACAAGATCCAGTGTTCGCAGTTGACGATGAAATGGTGACTCACTGCTGTACACTAAAATTAAGTGAGTGCCAAAATGTGCTGCTAAATAATTTGCTTATATTTTTAATCTGACTCAGAACCATATTGGTTGACCTGACTGTTTTCAACTAGACTGATGTTCAGGCATTTGAAATCGAAGCAGTTAGGGAGCGTTTTCTGCACAGATGTATGCTATTTGGACTTCATAACCAAAATAGAGACATCCAGTATCCCCGTAGTGAACGGATCCCTTAAGAACAAACTCTTAACTAGCCACCCCCGCCGCACACATCACACAAACACACATATGCACATATACACACAAAGTGTGCCCAAATCTACCATTCGAATTAGATTTCCACGTGAAACGTGAGACAATGACGAAGGGACAATGGTTGGTCATCTCGATAAACTGTGTAGAAAATTAGCCAAAATCACTCAAGGTCTGGATTCACTGTCTTACGAGGAACGGAATCGTTTCGAGTCACTCATCGAATCAATGATGAGAACACAAATTGAACTAAAGCGCCACATACTATGGAACCAACTAGATCTTGTGAATTCCGTCAGCGCGTTCCAAACCAATGATGAATGATATTTGCACAACTCTTTCGTGGCCAAATCGGATGAACTAAGCCATTAGATCTAGAAGTAGAGTTCGAAAACCTTTTCTCTCATCTACCGGGTTTATGGCCATTTATGGTAAAATAGGACTGACCTGAAATCCACCCCTGTAAACAAATGCTAATAACTTCTTGGAAGCAGATCGATAACAAAAGATCTCGAATGGGACTTCGTCGTGTATATAGCAAATGAAGCGTGAACTGAAATGCTGGGAAGCACTGGACAGTTATTTCGACCTAGTTGGGTCTCATCAGCAGTGCGAATCCATCGACCGAACTGGGGATCGAATCCGGGACCTTATGGACAAAACGTAAGCATGCTACCCACTGCGCCACCGGGTAGCTAATCAGACCGTTTTTAATTTTCCATTTACATGATATAGCACAACCCATCTGTGTGAGCTTGTTGCAGGCCACAGACCTCGCTCATCTCAGCACTAGCCTCCAGGGTTATGACTCAGTTGGAAATAAACACAACCTGAATATTTATTTCATGTGAGTAATGGAGGATGAGACAAAAGATCTATCGGGAGCGCAACACCGAGGGCGGTTATAGGAATTGAGGAATAGTCATGAAGTAATTCTGCGCATAGCAGACAAGTGGACAGAAGTTGTCGCATAGAGTAGATCAGATAATGTGTCCAAAATGAATGACACAGTTGGCGAAAACACGAAGTTCAGGATAACCGGAGAAAAAGATAAAACAGAACATACAGAGTAGAAAACGTCGACGACTAAATGGAATGACAAACCGAAAATTTTACGGTTTACCCAAGATGCACAAGGATGAGGTACCTCTCAGGCCGACTTTAGACAGGTATAGTTCCCTGTATTGTGCAATATCCAGATGGTTCGTGATATTCTTGGATTCACGGAGAGCTATCATTGCAACCCATTATTTACCGGACTCGTCCATTACATAGATTTCACCAGAAACGCAAATGATGATGGTCAATGAATGATATCCCTGGACGCTAGCTCACATTTATCTAGTGTTCTTATCGCAAAGATCAAAGTCAAAGAATATCAAAATTGCAATTTTCCTGAATGGCTTGATCAGCTAATGTAATTCTGCACATGGAGCGTTCAGTTTAGGTCTACTGATGAAATCTGTCTTCAAAAGGATGACGTGGCCCCGCTGGGTTCTCTATTTACGGATTTCTTCATGATATCCAAGTTAGAGAATATACTTTTGAAGTTCACAATTGTACAGACGATTTGTTCACGACATTTTATTTTTTGTGGACGGCAATTTCAATATACTCGTCTTGCTCGGGATATTTAGTTTCGTTTATTGCAATATTTAATTCACTTTGGAAGAAGAAGTGAACGGGGGAATTGGTTTCCACACCATCTGGTCAAGGCATCGCACAGATCATTCTATTCAGATCTCGATTAGTAGAAATGGACTTGGGACGGTCAGTAGCTCCATTTCGGAAGTATTGTGCTACCCAAAAGAAAAAGTAATCGGATTATTTGTTGGTGTTGGTTTGCATTCTCCGAGCTTGGAAAGTTGTTCGCACACGTTTCGCGGCCAGGCTAGGCAAGATCATCCCCAAATTTGCCCTGATCAGCTACAACCATTCCATATCATATCCAGTCGGGTTCTTTATTTGAAAAATAGGGTGATGAAAATATATATTAATGGTACTATTATTATTATTATATTAATGATACTATCGATACGGATATATGCGACGTATGTGAGGCTTTACTACAAAAAGGTTAGACAGCATTATACGAAATAATCGACCAAGAAGGCAGCATAAATCTCTCTCATTCGATAGAAATACCATCGCGGAGTTGGTAAACCGTAAACTGAGAACTGTGGGGGAGAATACATTACATGTTGCAAAACTTTCTGTCGTATTCACGTCCAGACCTAACATATGTTCGCAACTCGAAGATAAGATTTCTACTACTTTAGTCTTAATTGTATTTACGTGTTAACGTGTTCTCGTTAAAAAGGTACATCGGATGCACGAGCAGGCGCCCATCTAAAATGATTCCGGAACGTTATCCGACCTGGCTAAATTCTGTAGTAATTAAAATAACAAGTCTCACGCAATCAAATCCGTCTACATACCTCCCTTCCGCCCCCAGAAATTGATAAATTACACAACTTCACATTGTCCTCCGCCTTCCCCCGCCTCCTCAAATCACATAAGTAATACAAACTAAGCGCAAAAGATCCGAGAACAAAACCACGCATTTCGGATTTGACCATTTATTTGGTTTCCTTTTTTCTACATAATGATATCTTAATGTGTATGTATATTCCTGAATAGCTATATTTGTCTTGTCTCGTATGGGCCAGGAGAGGGGAGAAATGCCGGTAAGTTTCATTGCTCAAATGTTTGTTAAGTATTCATATGGTTGCACGAAAAAGCGATTGATTGAACTCATATTTTCAATTTAAAGAATATTTGAACGTTTAACTATGAGCAGTTAGAGGGATACTTTAACTAAATCTTTTAAGACATAAGGAAGATATATGAAGAAAATATATAATTAATACAAGCTTAAAGAAGACCCACTATTGTTCAATAGACTTCTCGAAGATCTCTACCAACAAATGCAATGTATATATATCAAATAGATTCGAAGAGTAACGATTAGCTCGTGAGAAAAATGCTAACAAACGAATTTCAGACAAGATAGCTTTCTTGAATGCCCTAGTTCTTCGGGTGAGCCCGAATCAGCGACCGACCAAACGTCTTTGATTTCCCCTTAGCATTCAACGCACTTCCCGCGATCAGCTGAAGTTTGTAAGATGCCAAAATTAACGATAAACACTAAGACTGTTCCAGAGCTTGAGCTCTGTTGGGTGCAGTCGACATTCACCCAGATTACAACGATGACAACAACAAAAGTGATGCTGTCATAATTTCAGGTTCCATGTGCCACATCCAGCAAAAGATATCTATGAAACAGATACAAAAACTGTTGAAAAGAGAAAAGGGGCAGCTAATCACAACACCCTGACAGTGACCAGCACCGCTGTATCGGAAACGACAGTAAATTCACTCACGGAGAGACTAGCGAAATGGTCGGCCACTGGACTGTGCAGAAACGGATAAAGAATTTGATCCAGTAAGCATCGGACACCTGTTTCGCCAACACTCCTCGCCTCACGCTGGGGAACTCAAATTACTCTGCATTCTTTTGAACGATGAAAAACACGTCGAGAACGTTCTTCCTAGCTACCTTCTGAGTAAAGAGTAAAGTGGAACAAGAATATTTTCTGATCGTGAAGAGAACATATGTGCTATCGTATGAACCCGATAAATGCACATGAGTCAGAAAATTAACTAGTTTTCTTGATTTGGTGAGTCCCTAAAAGCGAATATTAACCTACCTCAAAGTGGTAGGCAATAATCATGATTCGAATCCGAATGGATTGCTAAACCAACACTCCATAAGCTGTTTATCTAGCAAATTTACCGAGGTGCAGCTGCATTTCCAAATCGGTCAGTAGAATATTGTTGCCATTACCGAAATTTAGTTGGTGGCCGATATTGTTGACTCTGAATCGTACCTACCTCAATTGTCTCTGTTTATAGCTGATCCTCCTACATGAGGTGACGATTTACTACTTTAGCACCCATCTCTAGTGTGAACCAATTGATCTCCTTGACACAGTCACCGACACACTTTGATACACACTAAGTCAATCGGAAGTGCTCAAGAGCCGGTCGGATCTGTTATCCCGAGAGGACAATAGTCCCCAATTGAACACTAATTTGAACAAAGGTTGCTTCAAGTACAAATGATAAACCATGCAGCATTGGTGCTTCAAAAGCAAACTGACTAAACATACTTTCATTGGTCATTTTCCCTCACCTCAAGGCACATTTCATTGGGGACTTGTCTGGCACGGATTCAAAGCAACCATGTGAGTCATCATTCACCGGACTGCTAACTTCCTCCGAGGTCATCCTGATCACACGGAAACGCTCATGTTGAACCGTTTGCCTGGTCAAATAGCGTTGATGCAGTTGGCAAGAGAAGCTGAATCGCTTATTCTTCGTATTTGTACTCTCAATGTCTCCGTTCACATTCACTATGGCCACACGATCGCCATGGCGTTGTCGACTTGGCCATAACCATCGATACCCCAGTTGAGCAGCTGTTCCCGGATTGTCCATTTGACTGACCTCACCAAACGTCCATTGAGCATCGTCATGCACGTTTCGAATGTGCAATAGTGCATGCAAGTTGATCCAATACTTTCTGGACGGACTCGCATCCATTCTGGATGCGCATTGTCCAACCATAAGTCCGAACATGTCATTCCACTTGCCCTGAGCAAAACACCAGGAGTGTGCTTCGCAGAACTGTAATTGTTCTGTGCAGTAACTGAAATGCTTCACTTTATCACATTGAAAACCGGAAATGCGAGTTCCAGCAAAAAGAGATATCAACCTGAACCACATCCAAATGACAAACTTCATTGTCTAAATTGCTGCCGCCTGGCCGCAGATGGTTTGTCACAGTTAGTCATGAAACTGTATTTCGACAGGATGCGGACCAATCGCTGAGTTCGCTCGAGAATGGAAAATGGGAAAGGTGAGGTCAGCCAATCAGGTGATCGAAGCAGAAATATCTTGCTCATTGGTCAGATTTTGGCCAATGCAGGTCTGACGACCCCGATTCGCACTCATTCCCTCTTGTGTCGATGATTCAGACACTTCAAAAACGAACCCTGTTCTATGGAATGATACTATCAATTGTTGCCATTCCGATTCTTGGACTGAACTGTAGCAGCGCCAGACATTTTAGAAACCTTGTCGATCGGTTTCAATTTTGCGAAACGCATAAACATTGTTTTAGTCACGGATTCGACGACAAAACCTCTTTTGGAATCATGGTTGGAAAATGTTAGGTAAAACTGAATCAGCCACCGCCAGATTCAAACTGGATTAATTTGAATACATTAGTACACCCAGAAAACATGGTGAAAAAGTTGGAGGTTTGGTGAAGTCGATAAAACAGACAGTGGAAAAATCCACGGACCTCTGTCAGCATTGGTTGTGGCGAAATCTTGTTCGGCCTGTTAATCGTGTGGCTTTCACGAATAAGGAGGGATACATCGAAAGTACAAATAATAGGGAAGGGCGATACAGCTTCGCATGTCAAATGCGTCGACGGAATGTAATAAAGCCCATGATAAGACATGAACGTTTTCGGATGGTTCACATAAAAAACGAGGATGTTTGGAGCCCGGTAAACGATGGTACGCAAGGTTGCTTCCAACACTGGGGGATACTACATCATTCAAGTGTGCTTTAAAGTGAGTAAAACGAACCAGTATACGGAAGTTTCTTCAATTTGGTTTCGTAAAATATGTCTTCATATGTGGTACTATGTGGTATGAAATAATCTGTCTTTGTTTCATTATTGTAACTACGGTGATGAACATAATCACCATTTGCCCTTGCTATTTCAACGTTTATCTGATAATAGCATTGTG